AAGTCCCCATCAATTATTTTAGTTTTGGCGTTGGTGTAAGTATGCTCCTCCCCACCTCTGCAGGTGTACGATGCCGGTGAAAATTTCCAGCTCTGCCAGCTCACGTATTCAGATGAGGAGCACGAGGAAGGCGACCCTCTGTGGCAGGTCATTGTCATCAAGCAGGACGGCATGAAAGCTAGCGATCCTGACAGGTTGGTAGTTGTTGCTAAGTATTATGTGGTGCACTAATAGAAGAGAGAGTAGTAAAGTAGAAATGTAGATTGTGGTTGAAATGGACACTGAATTTGGAAAAGTTTTGAGGAAGTAATGTTAGTTAGTATTTTGGATGTGGCATTTTTTTCTTTTTCTTTTCTCATTTCTTTTTTCTTTTCTTTTCTTTTCTTTTCTCTTTTCTTTTTTCTTTTCTTTTCTTTTCTCTTTTCTTTTTTCTTTTTCGGAATACAAAGATATGATATTAATTTTTTTTAGACTGAGGAGGACCAAGGTGATTGATGCAGGTGTAGCATGGAGTTCAGAGAGAGGGGGAGAAAAATAAAGGGAAAAAAAGTTGTTGTATTTATCTCTTATGCTCATATCTGAAACAATTTCATATTTTTGCAAAGGTTAATAGTAGACAGTAACAACAACAACAACAACAAAAAATATATATATATATAAGGTTTACAAGACTGCTATATTTTCAGTGTGTTCCTGATCGATCATGCCTGGACGTTTAGTGCCAACGAGTCACGTCAACACTTGACAATGATCCTGGGTTTGCTGGAAAGGATGGTGGCACTGATGGACATTCCAAATGAAGACAATACAAGGGAGGAATTTGTCGAGAAAGTGCTAAGGGAGATGTGGAAGTTCTGTGACACGTACAGTCTTGGTATGAGATAGGGATTTTTTTTTTTATTCTTGTGTCTTTTGATGTTTAGATATGGTATGGAAGATTGTGGTTTGAGATAGGATTTTGAAAGCACTAACAGAAAATAGATGAAAAGGAATAACTATGCTCTGCCCCATGGACTTCAGCACTGAGGTAAGTCTTCATGTTAAGGAAATCCTAGATGTTTATTTGTCTCCTTAATATTGACAATCCCGAAAGATTTACCTCTGAGCAATGAGAATCTATAGATATGAACATAATCAAGTAGCTCTCATATTGACTTTTAAGGTATCATAAGTCATAATATGAAATTATTAGACATGGTATTAAAGCGTGTCCATTTGCAGTGGGAAAGACCCCGGAAGAACGCCTTCCAGTATGGTACATCATGGACGAGTTTGGTGCGCGGATTCAGCACTGCGGAGAACCGAACTTTAGGGTTGTTCCCCTTTACTATTCTCCACATCAGTGTTGTTACTCCTTGCTTTTCCCTATTCAGGTTAGATTTTGGTGTTATTACTAGTATACTGTACTTTAAGTGTGTAAGATGCGTCTTTGTACGAGGCATACCCCAGTTTCCCAGGTTATCTTCAGAAAGAAATATTTCTCAAATTATAAGCATTGACTGATAGATTTGTAGATATCGTAATTTTTGTTCAGCAAGTCTGCATATTTGATAGCTTGTTAATTGGCAACATGATTATTTGTACCTTTCTGTCTTATGCTTGATTGATAGGTGGTATAAAAATTATATATGTATAGAATGGAGAAAATCCTGTTCTTGCAGTTAGTTATTTATGAATGTTGAATTTGTAATCTGCATCATTGACAACAGGATGTTGAAGAAGGCGACGAGGTTACAAGGAACTATGTAGAGACGCCACCTGTCGATTCTGTCACCAGGGACGCCCAGATGCTTCCTTGGTTTCCCGTCGACTTGACACATGTCGATCCGCATCAAACGGAGCCGCCATCCGATTTCTTTGAGGTAATTTTTCTCAGTTTTTGTTTTCCATTCACTGTGCTGTCTATGTCTTGTTTCTATGGTGTGAATTATGTGTTTATATGAAACAGTGTTACAGAAGGAAAGGGAACTAGATAGGAAATGCAACATATTTTACAGACTTATTAACAATCTGTGGTATTTAGTGGTGATGTCTTAGTATATCTGCATTACAGAAATATACACAACAATTTATTGGCTCCATTCCAATACAAGGGTGAGATATTTTGTCTTTCTATGCTGATGTGAGAGAGAGAAAAAGTCTTGTATTTTCTTCCCCTTTTATTATTTATTGGATACTCTCCTGTAAGGTGAAAAGGGAGGGTATGTAACCCAGATGAACCCCCTACCCCCAAAAAAAAAGAAGAAAAAAAAAGGAAAAAAGAAAAGAAAAGAAAAAAAAGAGAGGGCAATTTCATTAAACACTCAGTATCAGCTTTTTTTCAAGTGCCACAAATCAATGTCCCTCTTTTAATGTACTTGTATTAGGACACAGCCAGGATTGAACTCCACTACCAGCAGCTAGGACGCGCAGACCAAAGAACCACACAAAATGACGCAGAAGATGGGGCAAGTAGTAGTGGGAAAAATCCATTCGGTGGTCCATGTTACACCCTTGTCCATGCTTCTTTTAGAAATGTTTGGTGGCTCTCCATTCTTGGTTCTAAAGTGGCCGATACACCGTATTTCACGACTGCACGGGTGTTAGAGCTTTCAGTG